TGTAATATCAGCATCTGGGAGGCTGAGGCAGTGAAATCGCTTGAGGCCGGGAGTTTGAGACCATCCTGAGTTGGGTCACAGCACGACCTCTACCTCTAAAATAAAAAAATAAAAAATAAATATAAAAATAAAATTCTAAAATTCCAAGAAATACAGTCCAGTGCTGTCAATAGAACTCTCTGAGATGACAGGATGTTCTATGGCCACGATGGTTGATGAATGCTTGAAATGTGGCTAGGTAACTGAAAAACTGAATTTTCTTCTTCTTTTTCTTTTTCTTTTTTTTTCCAGATGGAGTCTCAACTGTCACCCAGGCTGGAGCACAGGGTGTGATCTCAGCTCACTGCAAGCTTTGCCTTCCCAGGTTCACCATTGTCCCACCTCAGCCTCCCAGCAGCTGGGACTACAGATGCCCACCATGCCTGCTAGACTCTTGTTTTTGTATTTTTGGTAGAGACGTGGGGTTTCACCATGTTAGCCAGAATGGTCTTGATCCTGACTCGTGATCCGCCCACCTTGGCCTCCCAAGTGCTGGGATTACAGGTGTGAGCCACCGCAACCAGCCTTTTTTTTTTTTTTTTTTTTTTTTGAGATGGAGCCCTCCTCATCTCCCAACCTGGAGTGCAGAGACACGATCCTGGCTCATTGCAACCTCCGCCTGGGGTTCAAGTGATTCTCCCACCTCCAGCCTCAGAATAGCTGGGATACAGGAGCATGCCACCACGCCTGGTTAATTTTGTATTTTTAGTAGAAACAGGTTTCACCATGTTGAGTCATTGGGTGTGAGCCACCAGCACCAGTTTGGACTCTTCACTTTTAAATTTTTTAATTAAATTTTAAAAGAGCTAGCACAGTGGTTTATGCCTGTAATCCCAGCAATTTGGGAGGCTGAGGAGGGAGGAGTGTTTGAAGCCAAGAGTTCAAGACCAGTGTGGGCAACAAAGTGAGACCTCCCATCTCTACAAAAAACTTAGAAATTTTGGGGGCTTGTCTAGCATCCTCAGGGATGAGATCAGAGTTGCTTAGAACCCGGGAGGGGTGAGGGCTCAGAGGGTGGTGGGAGGGCACAGAGGAAGGAGTGGAAACCTAACCCTCAGGCATGGTCCCATATCTCCCCCAGGCCAGGCCCAGGCCTCGGCCCCCAAAACTAGGGACAGTTGGGAGGTAGAGGTGAGATCACTTGAGTCTGGGAGTTCCAGGCAACAGTGAGCTGTGATAGAGCCATTGTGCCCCAGCCTGGGGAAACACAGTGCACGAGTGTTTCAAAACAAAAACAACAAACAAACAAAACTGAATAATAAAATAAATGCTGGCCAGGTGCGGTGGCTCATGCCTGTAATCCCAGCACTTTGGGAGACGGAGGCGGGTGGATCACAGGTCAGGAGTTCAAGATCAGCCTGGCTAGATGGTGAAACCCCATCTCTACTAAATATATTAAAAAGCCGGGCGTGGTAGATGGCACTGTAATCCGTACCTCGGGAGGCTGAGGTGAGAAACTGCTAACAAGGAGGAGAGAATGCAATGAGCCAGATCACGCCACTGCACTCCAGCCCGCCACGTATGAACCAAAGCACTAGTTGGCAAAGGACGGGCGCCAGAGTCGAAGCATTTCGAGGTTAAGGTAGGGTAATAGGACACCCGGGAGGCGGAGCTACAGTGGCCAATCAGCACCACTGTACTCCAGTCTAGGAAACAGAACAAGATTCCATCTCACAAGTAAATAATAAAATAATAAATAAAATGTTAATAAGCACACATGCAGCTCAGGGCTTACTCATATTAGTGCAGACCACATGCATAAGGCTCAACTGGAGGCAGTTTCAGACGCTGATTTATTCTTCAGCACCCTCAGCTCAGACCTCCTGGCACCTGCTCAGAGCCTGGCACTCGGGCAGTCAGCTGCACCTCGCACTGGGCGTCCTCGGGCCTGCATGGCGTGAGTTGGTCTTTCCGCACAGGCTGTCTCCTCTAGGGCCTGGCCGCCACTCTCGCTGTCGCTAAGCTGCTTCCGCAGGGTGCCCAGCAGGTCCTGGCTTGCCTCATAGCGCCCACTCATGTTCTGGGGCTGGGATCACAGAGTCTACGTGGGAACCTGGGAGGCCCAGAGCCCACTTCTGGCCTCTCTTCTAGTTCCAGGGACACATACCAGGCCTACGCTTAGGCGGGTCCAGGGCCTGACTCGGCCTGGGACAGGATGGGGTTCAGGCCTGAGAGCCAAGCTCCGTCTCTCTACTATGTGGCCTCTCACTAATTCTCCCTGAGCCCTCACCTCCCCTGGGGTCCCGGATAATTCCTGTCAACTTCCCCGGATGCTATGTGATAAACCCCCAGGCACCTTCGCTCTCTGGGTTCTGACTCCCAATTTCAGGGCTCCCAGGCTCGCCTTTTGTATCCTTTTGTTCCACTTTCAGACCCTCCCCCTACCCTGGCTCTGCCTCTAGTTCCAGCCCTCTTATCCTAGGCTCAAGATTCCCTGCTAGAACTTCTCCCAACTCTGGCCTCCATGACCAGGACAGACTCCTTTCTACAATGACCCTCAACACTGCAGCAGTCTCTCCCCTCCACCAGCTGTCCAAGCACCCTCTACTGAGCTCTGGCTCACCGCAGAGTCACACTCCTTCTCGGGTCATGACACCCCAGGCACTATTTCTCAGGGCTCTGGCTGCACTCCCTGCGGCGCCTCAGACCTCCCGACCCTGGCCCCTGACCCGCCCTCTGGCTGCGCCCCAGAACCTCCAAGCCCTCTCCTACCCTGACCTGCAGCTGGCACTTGTGCAGGGCAGAGGATCAGGGCTAGTTTGAGGAGTCTGAGCAGGCCGGGAGGGCCTCAAGGGGCGAACGGCTCGGCCTGGCTAGGAGCGCTGTCAGTGGGGGGACGGGTTCATCTTGGCCCAGAGCCCCGGGGCAGGCTCTCGGCTCCCGAGACATTTGGAGAGATGCTCAGGCTGACGCTGCCCCTAACATAGGCACAGGACGGCTCTGAGGTAGGGAGGGAGGCAGACAGGCCACAGAGTTAGGAATCAAAGGGGTTAGCTGGTAAAGATGCCCAGGCGAGGCTGGGGGCTGCCTCATTCCAAATGCTCCTCCTACAAGAAGCCTTCCTGATTTCACCCTCCTCCACTAGCCTGTAATCCTTAGCTCGCTGGAGGGGCCTGGGATTATTGCGAAGACATCATTTGGCCTTGCCTCTGCAGGTGGCCTGGCCTGAAGGGCCAGCTTCCCCTCTGACACTGGGGGCCCAGGCAGGGGCCGCTGAGCTAGCAGGGCGCTGAGCAGCTGCAGCCTCGGGGCCCCAGGCCCGCACTCATTTGCAGTTCAGTCCCAGGCCAACGAAAGGAGGCGGGGAGCCCAGGACCACACCTGGCAGGGGCTCCTATCTTCCTCTCTGGGCTCACTGTGCCAGGTCCTCAGGGTCTGCTGGGCCCTCTCCGTTCTCTGTCTCCAGGCCGCCCCGGCTCCTGTAAATGAGCGATTCCTGGAGCAGTTAGGAGACAAAGGGTGGTCCAGGTTCTGTCTTATCTGAAACCTCCCTTCCCTCCTCCCTCCCTGGCCCACAACTGACCAGGTGGCCTCTGAAGCCAAGTGTCCATCGGCCAGGCACCTGGGCCCGAGGGGCAGCAGGCCCGAGGCTCCCACTGAACAGACCAAGCCCAGAGAAGAGCTGTGTCCTGCCCCATGTCACACAGTCAATGGAGGACAGCTGACCCAGAACCCAGGCCAGGCCCCACACAGAGGGGTGACCAAACCAGGCTGTACCCTGGGGTAGTGAGTGTCCCACTGGTGGGGGAGGGGGAGTAGCTGGGTTGCCAGAGGCAGCATCTGACCTGGAAAGCAAATGGGAGTTCAAGTCCTAACTCTCCTGGGTTACTGTCCTGAGACTGGACAAGCATTTCCTCTCGGTTTCAGTTTCCATCTGTGCCAAGTGGAGGATTACACTACTGGGCTGCTGGGGGAAGAAATGATGGAGGGAGGTGACTGTGCTTACCACGAAGATTGCACACCTGTGAGGGCTGAACCTGAGTGTGAGTGGGATACTGGGGGTGGCCCAGGCGGCCCAGCTCCTAAGCCTGCGCCCATGGATCTGGCCAGTACCCCATCCCACTCCTGCCACATCTCAGGGGGGCTGGCAGGCTCACCAGGGGCCCAAGCTTCGTGGTGAGGTCCTTGTTGACCTGATCCTTCTCCCAGATTTTGCTTCTGAAGACGCCCACTGCTGCATTTCAGCCTGCCACTACCTGGAGCTGTGGAGCACAGAGGAATGAAATCACCCCTGCCTCCTCAAATCCATCAGCTCAGTCCACCATATGCTTCTCCAAACCTGAGGCAGAGACCTAACATCCACTCCTGGCTGTGTGATCTTAGGTGTCCCAGCTCCTCTCCAGACCTCACACTTCTCATCCAGAAATGGGAAATGAGGTTCCTGCTCAGCTTATCTCATGGGAAAGCACTTGAGGACGTGTCCAGGTGGTGGCAGGAGAAGTGGGGTACAAGTTCTTTTTGTTTTCTTTTTGAGACAGAGTTTCCTCTGTCATCCAGGCTGGAATACAGCATGTGTGATTTCACCACTGCAACCTACATCCTTGGCCTGCTGATTCTCCTGTCTCAGCCTCCCTCACAGCTGATTATACACGCGCCACCACACCAGGCCAGTTTTATATTTTAGTAGAGATAGGGTTTTGCTTGTTGGTTGCTGGTTCTGAGCTCTGACTAGGTAATCCCCCACCTGGCCTCCCAAAGCAAGGGGGATTACAGGTGTGAGCCACCACCCGGCTGCAAGTTCTGGCTGTCGGAGGCTAAGCTGTTTATGATATACACTGGGCAAGTGCCTTGAACCTCAGTGTAAGTGCCTGGGAAGACTTGGCTGAGCCTACAGAGTAGGGTGAAGGCCCTGGGCTCAGTGGAACATGCCTCTCTCTCCCCCTCAACCTCTAGTTTTCCCTTCAAGGGACGCCTGCCTTGTGCAGCACCCACCACATACCCACCTGGCACTGAGGTCAGCCTTATCCAGGTCGCGGCATCTGCTGCTGGGCCAGGTCCTTCTCGTGGAGCATCTTGTCCCAGGGCTGCCTTCCAGCTGGGCCTGCTTCCAGGCTGCCTCGGTCTCGGCCTCTGCCAGCGCAGGTCCGTTGATCAGTCCCAGGCCTGCCTCCTGGACAGCTCATGATGTCTGGGCCAGCTCCCCTCCCAGCTGCAGCAGGTCCCTTGGAGAGAGAGCACAGGCTGGCGACGGATGGGGCCTACCTCAACTACAATTAAAAACTATGCTGGGGCCAGGTGTGGTGGCTCACATCTATAATCCCAGCACTTTGGGAGGCTGAGGCGGGCAGATCACCTGATGTCAGGAGTTCAAGACCAGCCTGGCCATCATGGTGAAACCCCGTCTCTACTAAAAATGGCAAAAATTTAGCCAGGCATGGTGGTGCACTCCTGTAGTCCCAGCTACTTGGGAGGCTGAGGCAGGAGAATTGCTTGAACCCAGGAGGTGGAGACTGCAGTAAGCCGAGATCATGATGCTGCACTCCAGCCTGGGCGTAATATAGCTAGACTGCATCTCAAAAAATAAATAAATAAAATAAAAATAAAAATAAAACTATACTAGGCTGAAAGTGTGGCACACCTGCAGTTTCAGCGATGTGGGAAGCTGAGGCAGGATTGCTTGAGCCCAGGAGTTTGAGGCTGTGCAGGAAACATAGTGAGACTTCATCCCAAAAAGAGGACGGCAAACACAAACACACACACACACACACACACAAACCCCTACACTGGGATGCCATTTGTCCACCACTACTGGGGAAAAAAAAAGGGTCACATAATAAACAGGAGGGGCCTTAAAAATATAAGGTCCCCTACACAGCTGGTGGGAAGGTGAGTACAACCACAATGAGAGCACTGGGGAGAGTCTTAGAACTATGCATGCACAGGACTCCTTCCTAACAGCTCCTCCTTCTAAGAATATATCCAAGATACGCCAGCACAGAGAAGATGGCTGTGTACAAGGAGGTTCAACGGCATTGTCATGCAAAAATCCCGTGACAACCTGAATGTCTATCAAAAGGACTGCTACTAAGCATATGATGTACATCCATTCAGTGGAACACTCTGTGGTCAAGAAACCAGGAGAAGTTCTTACTGGTCTGACACAGAGTCACCTCCAGTTATAAATTCACATGTGAAGAAAGCATCTTCAAGAACTGTGAAGATGAAATTTTACTTGGTGTATATATACAAAAAGTATGCATGTGCCTGTAGTGTGTGTGTGTGATCTGCTTTATTTGATTATGTAAGATAACCCTGGAAGGTCACTTAAGAAACTGATAGGCCAGGCGCGGTGGCTCACGCCTGTAATCCCAACACTTTGGGAGGCCAAGGCGGGAGGATCACCTGAGGTCAGGAGTTCGAGACTCAGCCCATAAACCCCGCCTCTACTAAAAATACAAAAATTAGTTGGGTGTGGTGGCTCATGCCTGTAATCCCAGCTACTTGGGAGGTGGAGGTGGGAGAATCGCCTGAACCGGGGAGGCAGAGGGTTGCAGTGAGCCAAGATCGTGCCACTGCACTCCAGCCTGGGAGACAGAGCAAGACTGCATTTTGAAAAAAGAAGAAGAAACTGATAATGCTTCTCAAGTAGTAACTTGTACAAAAAAGAAAAAGAAAAAATTGTATATATAAAAAGAAAAAGAAGCTGATAATGCTGCTTGCCTACAAGGAGGGAAGGGGAATATCTGGGGTCAAAGGGGAGAGGGAGCCGTTTTACTGTGTACCTTTGAAATGTGAACTCGTGAATATGTGACTTAATCAGTATAATATAAAAATTCTTAAAGGCTACTTTGTACCTTGTTTTTGTTTTTGAGACAGAGTTCACTTGTTGCCCAGGCTGGGAGTACAGTGGTAAAAATCCGGCTCACTGCACCTCCGGCTTCTCCCTGGTTCAAGCCGATTCTCCTGCCTCAGCCTCCCGAGCACCTGGAATTACAGACGACGTCACTACACCCAGCTAATTTTTGTATTTTTAGTAGAGATGGGCTCACCATGTTGGCCAAGTTAACTTGAACTCCTGACCAGATGATCTACTTGCCTCAGCCTCCCAAAGGCTGATTACAGGCGGAGTTACTGAGCCTGGCCTTAAAATGTATTTTAAGGCCAGGCATGGTGGCCTATTTCGTAATTCACTTCAGAGGCCAAGGCAGGTGGATTGCTTGAGCCCAGGAGTTCGAGACCAGCCTGGGCAACATAGCAAGACCTCTGTCTCTAAAAAAAAAAAAAAAAAAATTAGCTGACATGGTGGTGCATACTTGCAGTCCCAGCTACTTGGGAGGCTGAGGTGGGAGGATCACTTGTCCTGGGAGGTCAAGCCTAACGTGAGTTGTGATTGTGCCACCGCACTTCAGCCTGGGCAACAGAGAGACACTGTCTCAAAAAAAAAAATTGTATTTTAAGTCCATAATACAGGTTAAATCCTTTCCTTTCCTGAATGAACTGTACCCCTGGTTATCCTACTAAGGGAGGAAAGTGCCTCATTCCAGAATTCTAATTATAAAGGAGTGACTAACGAGAAGCTCACAGTTTTGCAGCCTCTGGTGAGTGGGTTGGATCTCAAAAAGAGAGTCACCAGGCACAGGGCATCCTCATGGAAGGAACAGCATTCTACTTATGTGGAGTCTTGATTAATTAATTAATTAATTACATGATGTACATGTAATTACATGATTGTACAAAATTACATGATGTGCAAATTACATGATGTATTTAATTAATTAATTAATATAAAATAAAAGCAAGCAAAAGAACCTGAATCTGGACTCTAGCTTTTAGATCCAATATCTAATTTACAGGAAATACATGGGATAAAGAAACATGTTAATTGACACCATAATGATGCAACCAACAAATCCAGGCCATGAGAATTTGGCGACAATTGGCCCATGTCAGAACAAATAAGTTAAAAAGTGACTAAAGATAACAGGGGCCGGGCACAGTGGTTCAGGCCTATAACCAGCCTCTTTGGGAGACCAAGGCAGGTGGATCACCTCAGGTCAAGACCAGCCCGGCTAATATGGTGAAGCCCCCATCTCTACTGAAAATACGGTGCTGGCCTGGCGCGTGCCCAAGCCTGTAATCCCAGCACTTTGGGAGGCCAAGCAGCGGGCGGAACATGAGGTCAGGAGATCGAGACCATCCCAGCTAACCCGGTGAAACCCTGTCTCTACTAAAAATACAAAAAACTAGCCGGGCTAGGTGGCGGGCGCCTGTAGTCCCAGCTACTTGGGAGGCTGAGGCAGGAGATGGAGTGAACCCAGGAGGTGGAGCTTGCAGTGAGCTGAGATCCGGCCACTGCACTCCAGCCTGGTGACAGAGTGAGACTCCCATCTCAAAAAAAAAAAAAAAAAAGAAAGACAAAGCCATCAGTCACATTTTGTGAATGTCTATGGATCTGTAAATTCAAACAAATTGTAAAGAAAAAATTGTTAAGACTAATCTGTGACTTTTTCTTCCTGTTCTTGAGACAGAGTTTCACTCTGTCACCCAGGCTGGAGTACAGTGGTGTGATCTTGTCACCGAAGCCTCTGCCACCTGGGTTCAAGCGAGTCTGGTGCCTCAGCCTCCCCAGTAGCTGGGATTACAGGTGTGTGTCACCACTCTTGGATAATTTTTGTATTTTTAGTAGAGATGGGGTTTCACCATGTTGGCCAGGCTGGTCTCGACCCTGACTTCAGGTGATCTGCCCGCCTGGCCTCCCGGCATCAGATTTGTAGATTTGAGCTACTGCACCTGGGCCTATCTGTGACATTTATGAGGCATATGGAAAATCTAGACACTGGCTATTTGATGATATTAAGAAAGATTATTAAACCAGGTGGTTGCTCACGCCTATAATCCCAGCACTTTGGGAAAGTTGGCTGGCAGGAGGATCACTTGGCCCAGGAGTTCGACCAGCCTGGGAAAACAACAAAGTGAGACCTCAACTCTACAAGAAATAAAAAAATCAGCAAGCTCAGGGCATGCACTCGTGGTCCTGTAACTGCACAGGATCTGAGGTAGGAGGACTGCTTGAGACCAGGAGGCCGCAGGCCAGAGTGAGCCACAAAGAAAAGAAACATAAAGAAAAGATTACTAACTAAAAGGTTTTAACCCACTAAACGAAAACACCTTGCCTCGCCTTGGGGCTCTCCACAGCTTCCCTGACGCTACTGTTGAGCAGACTGCTCACACTCGATCAGATTCCCTTTGCCCAAACATCAGGTAGGCTTCAGAAGCTCCCAGCTGAGGCAGGCTCTTTCTCCCCTGTACCAGCCCTTCGCTCAACTCCCCTTAGCTGGTGCCAGTGGCCTCACCCCTGCCTTTGTTCATGCCTTGCTTCTGCTTGAGTAAATGCTGTCGGCTTCAACCCTATCCATTCCTTGAGGCTCTGAGCAAATCTCCATCTCCACAAAGCGGTTTTTCTGACCTCCCCCACCCTCCTATTCTTCTGAGCCTGCAGGACATTCTGTCCCATGTACATACCACTGAGTCAGCTCTTAGTCTAGAATTTTGGGGATCACGTCTCTTCATCACTAGAAGCCGTGAGGTCCTTTGGTAGCAAAGCTAAATATTCTAGTGGATTAAAAATCAGGAACTTTGGCCTGTGCAGCGGTTCATGCCTATAACTGCACTTTGGGAGGCTGAGGCTGGCAGACTGCCTGAGCTCAGGATTGCCTGAGCTCCTGAGTCTGGGAGGAACAAGGTCCAAGGGTGTTCTGTGGAGTTGGAAGTAGGCGGGGTTTCTCCTGACGGCCGCTGCAGGCCTGCCAAGTGTCTGCGCTGGGCCTACTGAGGTCATTGGGTGAGCGGTGTCTGCATCTGTGTGTGGTGGCGCTGGCCTGGGGTGAGCTACACATGCTGTGCACTGATGTTGGTGGCCTCTACTAGGTGCGAACAGGGTGTTATTTTGTCATTTGTCTCCCAGGCAGGACCCTGTGTGTCCGTGTGTGAGTGCTGGAGTTCATGTCGATTGTTTGGTGCTCTGAGCCTTCCTGAACGGGTAAGGCGCACCTGGCTGAAGGTCTATGTCAGGTGCAGGTGCTGGGTCCAAGCTGTGTGTATCAGGGCATATGTCTGTGTTGTTTCAAGTAGGCAGGTGTAATAAATTGCACGTAAGGGCAGTCTGGGGAGGTGCTTCAGCTCCCTTGGTATGTGTGATACACACTTTGTGCATCTGCATACCTTGTGGGCTGATTGACGGCTGTGCTGGAACTGTATGCTTTCTCTGTCCGTGTGCACCCATGAGGTGGGAGACAGCGTGCTGTGTCATCTGCATGTGGGTGTGATGGGTCCGCGGTGGTGGGGTGACTGTTCTGTGCCTGTGTGGGGTTGTGCAGCATCTGGCTGTGGCTGTGGGTTACAAGTGTGCATATTCTGTGAATTGGAGTGTTTCTGTCCCCCTAAGAAGCAGGTGTAGGCGCAGCCTGGTTTTAGGTCTCACTATGCTGTTTGTGCATGTTTTGTGCATCTGTGTGTCTCTGGTGTGGCCCAGTGTGGCCCGTGGTCGTGTACATACACTCATGCATCTGTGTGAAGCAAGTGCTGTTTGCCTCTGGGACACAGAGGGGTTCAGGCTGTTGCCAGGTTCTCCTCCCGCCAGAGCCAGGACCCTGTCGGCCACACCTCACCCCTTTCCACAAACTTCACCCCGCACAAAACAGCCTTCAATTTCCATTTGTGTCTGCAAGGAAGGAGGCTGCCATCAAGCCAGAGATGAAAGAAGTTGACTCTCCCTAGCAACCGCGTCTCGACCGCCTCATTCCATTTAGTCTTTCCAGGTTACAGGACACAAGGAGCCCAGGGGGTCTGTCCTGAGCTAAGGGATGTGTGGCCACTCCCTCCTTTCCATTCCCAGCTGCGCCTGGCTACACCTGCTTCCTCAGGGACAGTGAAGAAGGAGGGACCCCCATGGGGCCCTGAGTTCCTCTCTCTGGCCAGGAGGTGGCCATTGGGAGTGCCTCAGTTTCCCTGCAGGACATGCAGTCAACAGGATAAAGACCTGACCCTCCACTCCCCATGCCAAGGGTGCTGCAGGGTTGGAAAGATCAGAACAATCTCACTGACTGCCCCCCAACCCAGCCCACCATGCCAGTGAGGGCCGCAGGGGCAGGCACTTGCCACCTGTGGCCATGGGGAAAAGGGGGTGGCAGGGAAAGAATGTTGCCCAACTGCAGAGCCCTGGACCAAGGGTCTCATCCCAGCACCACCACTGACCTTGGGCCTATCATGCCCCCTCTCCAGGACTTACTTTCCCTATCTGTGATAAGGTGATCTCCAGGCTCTGAAGTTCTCTGGGGACCCACCCTCCAGGAAAGGCCTTTGCAGTCATTCCTGTTCCACCCCTCCCTCCAGGTGAGGCCTCATTCAAACCATGGTGGATAGAGGACAACTGAAGCAGCGGGCACCCTCTGCGTGCCATTTGGGGCCCCCCTAGCCACAGGAGGGAGCTTTCCACACTAACCCAGACCCCCTGTGCTGCAGTCCCAGCCCCAGCTGCTGTGTCCCAGCAGAGGAGGAACCTGTCACCTCCCACCTCTTCCCTTCCCTGCCAACTGGGGGCAGGGCTAGCTTCAGAAGGTGGCATTTAAGAGGCAGGCCCTGGGGGTGTGGCACTGTGCCATGCACGGGCCAAAAGAAAAGGGAGGGCTGGCTCAGGGCCCCATCACCACTGACAATGCAAGACTGGGGCCAGCATGCCCTACACACCGGCTGCAGACCCTGGGAAAACTAGCTCTCCACTGATCTGATGCTAGGGGCCACTGCGGGCCGCCTATCCGGCTCCTCTACAAGTCCCAACTCGTCGGGGGTTTGTCCAGCCAGACAAATCCCAGGACACGGACACGCCCCACAGTCACATACAGGAACACACACCCTCCTCCCAGTGCGGGCTCCAGCCTGGACAAGCCCAGCTTAGGGGTCCCACGCCAACCCTAGCTCTGCCACTACCACACAGGGGACCCTGGGCCAGCCCCTGCCTCTCTGGGTCCCTTCCAGCGTTGCAGGGGCCAGCTGTGCCCTGAAATCCCTAGCCCAGTGTCTCTTCCTGTACGTAGGAAACAAAACTTTAGAACTTTGGTTCTAGACTGCGTTAGTCTAGAAACCAAACAGAGCACTGGGGCTGCGAGCTGGAAGACCTGGTGTCTAGCCTTAACTGGCTGTGTGCCCCCAGCATGGTGCTTCCCCTCCCTGAGCTTCTGCTTTCTCCTTTGTTAAATGGGCATCATAATGGTCCCGAACTTGGTGTATTAAATGTTAAACACTCAGCCCGTGCCTGCAACGTACTAGGCACTCAATAAACAGTAGCTACTATTAATATGTTATTGCCACCTGCATGCCTCCCATCTGTACACATACACTCGGTCCCACTTGTAACTCCCTTACCAATCTTCAGCCACCACCAACTTTCCAGAGTCACCTCCCGGCCACCTGGAGGCCCAAAGCAGACAGTGCATCAACAGCATCCCACACCCCTGGCACCGGCTCACCCCCAGCTCCCGCCCCAGGCCGTGGGACCCCCACAAGCCTGCAGCACGGGTGATGTGAAACCTGCCTGGACATGAAGACAGGCCTGCTTCTCCTTCCTTCCCTGCCTGGAACCCATTCCAATAGGCAGTGGCGGCAGGTCCTGTGGCTGCCCCAGATGGCCTGCAGAACACTGCGGGTGGCCACACCAGCCTCGAGCCAGCATCCAGCCACCGCCTCAGCCCCAAGGCCCGTGGCAATGGTAGCACAGGGAGATGCCCAGAAACTCAAGAGGCAGGAATCTCTAGGGATCTCGTTCTCTGTGTCCCGAACCCCTAACAGGTCTGGGACAGATGGGAACAAAATGCCCCTATGCCAGGAACTTTATTCTACTATTTCCTATTATTCACACAACTCCACGTCCCATTACAATCCCCACTACAGAAAACAGGCTTGAAGAATGTAGTGATTTGTTCAACGCCACTCAAGGTGGCAGAGCCTCAATCCAAGCCCAGGCCAACCTGACACCAGGGCCCATCTTTTGCCCCATGTGTGGGCCTGGTCTAGATGCCTCCATGCCCTCAAACCGGGGGAGCCCTGGCCTCGCCCACCACCTAGGCGGCACCCACCCTCTCGCTGACCGCGTTGTACTTAATGGCGAGTTCATTGCGCTCGGCACGGCTCTGTGCCAGCAGGTCCTCCACGCGGGATAGCTCCTGCTGCAGCAGCTGGTTCTCCTCCTGCAGCAACAGCAGCGATGCCATCTCCGTGGCTGGCAGCGGGACTGGCAAGGGACAGTGGGTACATCATTGGCTTCTGGGTCCAGTGGGACATCCTCCCCCCACGGGGAGGGCAAGAAAACCATCCAGGCCCCTGAGATGAGCCCAGGGGGGAATGGCTGCAGCATTAGGCCTGCAAACAGAGCTGAGAACAGGGAGGAAGGCAAGGAGGGGATACAAAGCTGGACATAAAGTGAACACAGCTCCAGCTAAAGTGTGGCCCAGCAGGTTTCGGAGGTGCAGGAGAGAGGCTCAGTCTAGGAGCCAGGAGACCCCTGAGTTCTTGCTCCCTCTTTTCCAATTACAGTTCTTCCCCAGGGCCTCAGTTTTACTTATCTGTAAAATGGGTGGGGCAGGTGCGGACTCAGGCCTGTAATCTCAGCACTTTGGGAGGCGAGATGGGAAGATCACCTAAAGTCAGGAATTTGAGACTAGCCTGGTCAACATGGCGAAGCCCTGTCTCTACTAAAAATACAAAAATTAGCCGGGCATGGTGGTGTATGCCTGTAGTCCCAGCTACTTGGGAGGCTGAGACAGGAGAATCACTTGAACCCGGAAGGTAGAGGTTGCAGTGAGCTGAGATTGTGCCACTGCACTCCAGCCTGGGCAACACAGAGAGACTCTGCCTCAAAAGAAAAAAAAAAAAGGCCGGGCGCGGTGGCTCAAGCCTGTAATCCCAGCACTTTGGGAGGCCGAGGCGGGTGGATCACGAGGTCAGGAGATCGAGACCATCCTGGCTAACACGGTGAAACCCCGTCTCTACTAAAAATACAAAAAATTAGCCGGGCATGGTGGTGGGCACCTGTAGTCCCAGCTACTCGGCGGCTGAGGCAGGAGAATGGCGAGAACCCGGGAGGCGGAGCTTGCAGTGGGCCAAGATCGTGCCACTGCACTCCAGCCTGGGTAACACAGCGAGACTCTGTCTCAAAAAAAAAAAAAAAAGAATAGTAACCAGATCCTCCCAGAAAAGCATCAAAGCCTCATTCAAGGGAAGGGCTTCAAGGAACTTTAAATGTTAGGGCTCAGGATAGCGTTGGTCAGGTTGTGAGGAGGAGGAGAAAGAGAGAAGAGGGAAAGAAAGGCCAGTGGGAGAAGCAGGGTTGTCCACCTCCTGTGGGTTCCCCTTCTACCCTGGGAGAACTGGACATAGGCTCCAGGTGCCAGGGTGAAGGCACTCCCTGTCTGGGGCTCCAGGGCGCCAACATCCCCGGCGCTCCCAAGGAGGGGGCCCGTCTGTAGCTTGTCAGTTGAACAGAGACAATGGTTAGAACACCAAAACGCCATCAGGGAGAGCTGCCAGCACACCAGCTGCAACTGACTGTGCCCTTCCCAGACCCTCAAGCCACATAACGACACCGTGTGTGCCACCCGCTAAGAGGAGCAGGGACCATCCACATTCCTGCCCACGTGGGAAATGGATGGACAGCGCCATCCACTGAGACTTCTGCAAAACCCTGGTCTGAGATGAGCTGCCCTCTCCCTCTATCTTGGGTTCAGCCAGCTCCACACCTTCCCCAGGTGGGAATATGGGATTTGGAGTTCACATCTTTGCAGCAAGCTACAGGCAAGCACGGAGGGGATGCTCGGCCCTTCCTTCTAGTTGCACCACATGCGGAATAAGTCTGGGCAAATTCATCCCTGAGCCTCCGTTGCCTCATCTGTAAAATGGCTTCTTCTGTCATAAGGTTGTGCCTGTCCCACAGCAAGTTACAGTCATGAACATCATGGTGACTGCTCAGGAAAGGGACATGCGAAGAGGTAAAATGTGGGTGGTGTCTGTGGAGGGGAGCGGATGGGGGTGGCACCTGGGCTCTCAGGCCGGGAGAGGTTGTGGGTGACAATTTCCCTGATGCGGGCAAGCAGGCTGGTGGTCTGAGCGTCCTGGGCCAGGTCCCGCGTGCCCAAACCCTTCTCCTGGCACAGGACGCTGCTCTCCAGTGTCTGTGGGAAAAGCGAGAGGGTCTTCAGGGGACCTGGGACCCGGGGCTCCCTGGCCTCGAGGGAAGAGCCAAGTCCTACTGCCCAAGATATGGGTCCCCAGGAGCCCCCACAAGATGGAGTGAAGCCTGGGAATTAGAATCCAAAAAATCCCCGTGGGAGGAGCCTCTTGTGCTCTCCCCGCCCCTGGAAGAAGGCCACCCAGGGCCAGAGATGCGAACCAAACCCCACGAGCAACTCCCAAACCCCACTGAGGCAGTCCAGTATTGGGGGCTCCAATTCGGCTCCGACCCTAGATGGATGAGGATCCGGCTATGCCAGAGGTCCTCCAAATCCTAAAATCTGGAAGTAGGGACCCCCCTTCTCCCAATGCAGGGCACTGGGATGAGGGAGCCACAGCAGGTGCACCCTGTGTGTACATCTGCCCCATGTCTTGCCAGGAACTGCAAACAGGGGCCCCTTACGCCCCACCACCACCACACCCCTCCCACCCCTTGACCCCCAAGACGTACACACCTCTCACCACTCCTGCTAAGTCCACGCTAGCCCGCCCCAGACAGGGTGGGCACAGCCCCCAGGACCCACCTGGATAACCGTCTCTAGCGTCAGCTCCACCTCCTGTGCCCCCGCCAGCCCCAAGCTCATGGGGGGGAGGCTGTGGGCACTCCTCCCGCCCCCTTCCCCAGGACCCCAAGACTAGCTCAGTCAGCACGCGCCACAGCCAGGCTGCTGTGCTGAGCACCAGGCAGATTAAGCTTAAATCCGGCGGCGCCCCCATGTGACCACCCGGGTGGGAGGAGCGGGATGGGGGCTGAGGGGGGAGGGGATGGGAAAGGACAGGAGAGGAGGGAAGCAGAGGCGGGAGCCAAAGGAAGAGGAAGGATAAAGAGAGGGGAGAAGAAGGGAGAGAAAGGAAGGGAGGGGAGAGAAGAGGGAATGGGGGTTGAAAAGGAGGGGAGGTACCTGGAGGTCAGGACCTCACACACTCTCCACCCTCCACAGGTTGCTGGGTCCTAGAGCCCTCCAAACCCAGGGGATGGGGTCAGTAGCCATGAGACAGGAAAAGGCCAGAGTCCTAGGTCTTCAGGACCATCTTTGCTGGCCCAGAACTGGGGTCACATGGTTAGCTAAGAATGCAAGGATTTACAGCATACTGGGAGCACGCTTTCCCACAACAGGTGTAGGGCAAAGAATGCAGGCTGTGAGGTCACCCAGACCAGGCTAGGCACTTAGTTGGGCATAAGCAGTCCAGCCTGGACTGATGAGCATTTATGCAACACCTGCGGCATTCCTAGGTCTGACCTAGACACAGTGGCACAGCCTCGACCTACAAATGCCCCAGCCTTGCCCTTCAGGCACTTATTGGGAAGCTTCTGGCCCCTCCACACCCACCCTAGCCCCCACTAGCTGGGTGCACCAGTGACAGTGACTTTGCCTCTCTGAGCCTCAGTGTCCTCTTACGTAAGATGTGATAATATTGGCATTCACCTAATGGAGCCGTCCGGGGATGAAACAGAATATCGTGTGTGCATAACCAGCACATGACACGGTGCCAGGGGGTCACAGGGTCAACACTCAAGAAATACTCATTTCATTCATTGGAAAATCCAAAAGGCACAGTACCTGCTGGGCATAGGCGCTCAGGCCTGTAATCTCAGCATTTTGGAAGGCCAAGGTGGGCGGATCACCTAAGGTCAGGAGTTTGAGACCAGCCTTACGAATGTGGTGAAACCCCGTCTCTACCAAGAATATAAAAATTAGCCGGGCGTGGTGGCGCATGCCTGTAATCCCAGCTATTTAGGAGGCTGAGGCAGGAGAATCAATTGAACTTGGGAGGCGTAGGTTGCAGTGACCCGAGATCGTGCCATTGCACTCCAGCCGGGGCAACAAGAGCGAAACTTGTCTCAAAATAAAAAAAGGAAGAAAAGAAAAGCACAGTGCCTATATCCCAGGGCCCTGAGACCCAGAGGTCACCCACCACCTCTTATTGTTCTTTCCCTGGGGCAAGGAGGCTATGTGGTATAGTGGTTAGGCACACAGCTCTGGAGTCAGTATCAGGTCTGAGGTTGCATGTGAGACACAGCTCGGTCACTTGCAACTATGGTGTTCAAGACAGTATGACCTTGAACAGGTTACCTCCCTGAGCCTCAGTTTTCTCATCTCTAAAAGACTAGACCAGGCCGGGTGTGGTGGCTGAAACCTGTAATTCCAGCACTTTGGGAGGCTGAAGCGGGCAGATCACTTGAGGTCAGGAGTTCGAGACCAGCCTGGCCAACATAGTGAAACCCCATCTCTACTAAAAATATAAAAATTAGCCTGCAATCCCAGCACTTTGGGAGGCCAAGGTGGGCAGATCACGAGGTCAAGAGATTGAGACTATCCTGGCCAACATGGTGAAACCTCGTCTCTAATAAAAATACAAAAATTAGCTGGGTATGGTGGTGTATGCCTGTAGTCCCAGCTACTTGGGAGGCTGAGTCAGGAGAATCGCTTGAACCTGGAAGGCGGAGGTTGCAGTGAGCCGAGATCACACCACTGCACTTCAGCCTGGCGACAGAGTAAGACTGTCTCAAAAAAAATAAATAGATAAAAATTTAAAAATTGGCGAGGCGCAGTGGCTCACACCTGTAATCCCAGCACTTTGGGAGGCCAAGGCGAGTGGATCATGAGGTCAGGAGATCAAGACCATCCTGGCTAACACGGCGAAACCCCATCTCTATTTAAAAAATACAAAAAAGATTAGCCAGGTGTGGCGGCGGGCGCCTGTAGTCCCAGCTACTTGGGAGGCTGAGGCAGGAGAATGGCATGAACCCGGGAGGCTGAGCTTGCAGTGAGCAGAGATCGCACCACTGCACTCCAGCCTGGGTGACAGAGCAAGATTCCGTCTAAAAAAAAAAAATTAGCTGGGGCTTGGTGGCATGTGCATGTAATCCCAGCTAGTCAGGAGGCTGAGGCAGGGGAATCATTTGAACCCCGGAGGAGGAGGTGACAGTGAGCCAAGATTGTGCCACAGCACTCCAGCCAGGGTGACAGGGCAAGACTCTGCCTTGAAAAAAATTAATTAATTAATTAATTAAAATAAAATAAAAAATAAAAAAAATAAAATAAAATGAGACTAGACTGGGCATGGTGGTTCAGGTCTGTAATCCCAGCACTTTGGGAGGCCAAGATGGGAGAAGCGCTTGAGCCCAGGAGTTTGAGACCAGCCTGGGCAACAGAGCGAGACTCTTTCCTACCAAAAACAACAAAAAAAAGAGACTAATAGTAAGTACCTGCCACACCAGGCAGGTGGTGAGCTATTAGCCAATGGTGGCCGCTGTTCCTATTGTCATTAGCATCATGTGTCTGGGCTCCTGTCCTTAGAGTTGTAAGCCCTGAAAAAGGACAGGAATTGCTCACTTGAGGAGCTCCGCTTTTAAGACACAATTCTGCCGAAGTTCCCAGCCAAATAAAGCTCCTTCCTTCTTTAACCCGGTGTCTGAGGAGTTTTGCCTGTGGCTCGTCCTGCTTTACTGCTATGCCTCAGACCTTGGCCTCTGGGCGCCCTCTGCTCCATGCTGTGCCCCAAAGGGGGCATATTCACATTATCTCATTAAATCCTTACTTCAACCCATTTCCAGATGAGAAATCTGAGGCTCAGAGAGATTGGGCTCTCACTTATTCAAGGTGACATGCTTCAGGGAAGTAGTGAGCCCAGAGCTCATTCCACTTTGACCAGCAGCCTCCCAATAAGTGACTGAAGGGCAAGGCCAAGGCATTTGCACTTTGAGGCTCTACTACTGTATCGAGGTCAGACCCAGAATGCCACGGTGCTGTACAAATGCTCATCAGTCCAGGCTGGACCGCTCATACCCAACTAAGGAACCTGCCCTGCAGATGGAAAAACCAAGAAACAGGGCAGAAAAGATAAATGTTGCCAAGTTGCAATGGCAAGCAAGCCAGATTTGGGCAAAACTAAACCAGCCACTGGCCGGGTGCGGTGGCTCACGCCTGTAATCCCAACACTTTGGGAGGCCGAGGCAGGTGGATTGCTTGAGATTAGGAATTCTAGACCAGCCTGGCCAACGTGGTGAAACCCCATCTGTACTAAAAATACAGAAATTAGCTGGGCATGGTGGTGGGTGCCTGCAGTCCCAGCTACTCGGGAGGCTGAGGCACAAGAATCACTTGAAACCGGGAGGCAGAGGTTGCACTGAGCTGAGATCGCACCATCGAACTCCTGGGTGACAGAGCGAGACTCTGTCTCAAAAAACAAAAACAAAAACAAAAAAAAAACACTAAACTAAACTAAACTAAACCAGCCAGCAGCAGAGAGCTGCCACTACAAACCACAGGGATGCCCACTCTTCTACCTCTAAGCAGCCTCCAAAAATCCCCTCTACAGGCTGCACACCTGCCTATCAGAGCAAGGGGGAAACCACAAATACAAATACCCCTGGGCCAGCATGTCCAGCCCTGCATGCCCAGCTCAGCAGAAGGGGCCCCAGATGTCCTTGGGGAACTGAACTGAATTATTCTGTCTCCTCTCCTGACCACGGCCCTAACAGTTGGGGGAAGGGGACAGGATATCAGCCCCTGGCACCAGGTGACACCCACCCTTGGCTCCATCCTCAAAGTTCTCCCCCACAGTCCTGCTGGGTTCTGTGGGTTCCAGGAGGTCGTATCTGAACCCCATGTATGTGTCCACTGCTTCCACCCAATTCTCCAAAAAAAAAAAATGACTGAATTCCTCTTAGAAATCTGGATGCTAACAGCTTCAGCATCTGGCCACCTGGACTCCAATCTTGGCTCACAGACCCTGCGCCAGAGTCTTCACTTCCCTGAGCCTCAGTTTCCTCATCTGCAAAATGGGATACTAACGGTGCCTGTCTCTAGCATGAGCATTAAGTAAAATACCTCGTGCTAAGCTATATGCCTGGATATGGTGTGGCAGAAGCTGCAATGTGCTCACCACAAAGCATTTCCAATTCCTCTTAGGAATATGGCTGAAAGCTATTTCCCAGACTCCCATGCAGTCAGATACGGCCTTGTGGTCAACTTCTGGTCCATAGAATTAAGACAGAAAGAAAGTGTGCCACTTTAGGCTTGGCCCATAAAATTATTTCTCTCCTTCCTGGTCCATCAGCTAGAAGGAAATAACTCCAAGGTCCTAGGGGATGCTGGAACCACAAGACAGAAGGGATCTGGGTCCCTGGGTCACATAGAAAGCCACTGGCCAAACAGCCAACAGGACTTTTCATGAATGAGAAATAAACGTCTATTGTGCTAAGCCTCTGAGGATTCAGGGTTTCACTATCACATTAGCTAGTGTTACCTTAATTACTACCAGCAGTTAAACAGCGGGTAAGTGTTGGCTATTACTACTGTTATCATTACTATCATGAGTATTATTGGCTCTTTCTAGTACCCAAGCTAGAACCCTGTGCCTTGTTCTAGATGCTGGGCCATTATTTAGTGACCAAATACAGAAGAGACACCCTTTGTACCCTTCCCTCCCCACTACCACCCTCCAAACCTGCCTTTTGCCAGGGTTAGCGGCAGGAACTAGCCAAAAAGCTCCTCCAAGATTACTTGTCTCAAACATAGCAGCACCTCTTATCCGCCTACCCCTTCTTTATCCCCCTACCCCTTCTTTATCCCCCTGCTGCTGACTAGAAATTATGACAAAAATATTGAACCAACCACGAGCCATTCCCTGTGCGCAAAATGTTACATCTGTCCCTTACCTGCTTTAACATTCCCGGCACCACTCTACTCACTTTACAGATGACAGCACAAAGTCTCAGCGAAGTTAAATAATTGGCTCCAATGCACCCAGCCACAAAGAGCTCAAGCCACAGCCGCAACCTAGGTGTGCCTGATTCCAAAGGGTTTTTGGTTTTTTTGTTTGTTTTGGTTTGTTTTGTTTTGGAGATGGAGTCTCGCTCTGTCACCCAGTCTGGAGTGCAGTGGCACCATCTCGGCTCACTGCAACCTCTGCCTCCTGGGCTCAAGCAATTCTCCTGCCTCAGCCTCCTGAGTAGCTGGGATTACAGGTATGCGCCACTGCGCCCAGCTAATTTTTTTACTTTTAGTAGAGACAGGGTTTCACCATGTTTGCCAGGCTGGTCTCAAACTCCTGACCTCAACTGATCTACCTGCCTCGGCCTCCCAAAGTGCTGGGATTACAGGCATGAGCCACCACGCCCAGCCCAGAGTCTTAAATAATAACAGCAAGCTGGGTGATCCCAACACTTTGGGAGGCCAAGGTAGGAGGACTGCTTGAGCCCAGGAGTTTGAGACCAGCCCTGGCAACATAGTGAGACTCCATCTCTACCAAAAAATACCAAAAAACTGGCCTGGCATGGTGGCATATACCTCCTGTAGTCCCAGTTCCTTGAGAGGCTGAGGCAGGAGGATTGCTTGAGCCTGGAAGGTTGAGGCTGCAACGAGCTGCGGCTGTGTCACTGCACTCTAGCCCGGGTGAAAGAGCAAGACACTGCCTCAGATAAACAAAAACAGTAACAGCAATGACTGCCATCCTGCAGCGCCTGCTGTGTGCCTGGCACCACCCCAGGACTCCGATGTGTATTACATAAGCCACTGCCTGGACTGCTCAGATGGCTCCCCAAGGGTCTCTCTGCTTCGCTGCTCATCCCCTCACCCCACTCAATTTCACACAGTAGAGGTCATACCCCTCC